TCTCTCTCTCTCTCTCTCTCTCTCTCTCTCTCTCTCTCTCTGCACCTAATCAACCCGCCTCACACCACGAAGAGTAAGCATGACAGACAGAGACAAGACAAACGTTCCGGAAGCACACACACACTGTCTCTCATGCAGCCTTCTTTCTTGCGCCACCCCCCCTACGATTCGGTGCCGGTGCCTTTCTCTTCTTCGCACCTGCTCCCCGGCCTTCCCTCTCAGCCTGTCTGGCGTCCATCCATCGCTGCCCGTCCTCAGATCTCGCCCTCTCGTCCAATATCCCCTGATATTTCTCCACCCAGCGAGGCTTCGTCAACCTATCCACCAGCCTCATATCCCTCACCTGGATGGTCACCCTCTTCGAGTGGATCKCCACTTCGTTTGTGTTCTCGAAGTTGGCGACCAGGTAAGCCTCCGCAGCCTCCATCAAAGCACGCACGRCCGTCATCTGGAACCTYACGGCCTGAACAGGGGAAATGTCCTTCTCCATCACCTCGCGGACGAGGCGCAAGAAGGGCCTGAAAGGGATACAAAGGTCGGTGGATCGCTGCAGCCTCCTGATCTCTGTCAGAGCTGCCATCCTGGGGTGTCTGTGGCGTCTCTGGACCCGGCGAGGCGTATCTCCATTGCCACCGGTCTGTGGCTCAGGCTGGGGGTTCTTCTTTTGCTTGTCACCAGCCGGCTTCCCCCTCTGTGGCCTCGACACAACCCTATTCACCTTCCTCAGGCTGTGGGACATCGCAGTGTTGCTGGGCCCGGCCACGTCAGCCTGCGCTGCAGAGCACCCTGCAACTCACTCACTGCCACGTGGGCCCTCCACCTCAGCAGACAAACCACCCTGATGCCCCAGACTCGTCTCCTCCGTCTGTCCCGGCCTCTGAAGTCCACCTCGGGTGTCCTCGTGCACCATATACCGAATGTCTCGCAGGAGGCCATCCGAGTACGTCAGCAGAAACAGCAAACCAAGCGGGTCCTTGAACCTAATCGTCATCGCTCCAACTTGCTCATATGTCAGGCGACATACGGGCGGGACCCAACCAACATGGGCGGAGCATCCATGCCTGCGGCGGATATGAGCCATGTACATGTTCTCCCCATCGCCCTGCCCTTGCCCACCAGGACTCCCCTCAACCATGGACCACATCCCCTGCTCTGGCATGGAGTCGTAACCCATGCACACCATCTGACGGTCCTCCTCCCTTATCTTCTCCCAGCACCGCTTTGCATGCTCCACAACCAGAATGTGCTCCTTCACATCTGCATTGAAAATGGACACACGTGTCAGTACCACCAGGAACTGCCACTGCTCCACCATGCCTGCATGCATCCACCCCAAAGGCAGCCAATGGCCTGTCTGCAGTTTGGCCGCCATGGTCACCTTGCCATCAACTGTTGCAGGATGCAGATATCCTGGCAGCCAATTCGCACGATATCCATACTTCTGAGGGGCCACATGGTGCTGCAACTGCCCCTCAAGGATGACATGGGCCGTAATGTCCATGGCAGCCAGAACGTCAGGCTTCAGGTTGGGCGGGTTCCATACCATCGGGGATAATCCATCAGCAGTAGCTTCCTCCCCTCTGGCATGCGTGTATGTGTACCCCTGCTCACCCGCAAACACTTTCCCCTCTGCCACCTCGAGCTCCACAGGGTTCCGAAGAGGAGGCGAAAAACAACGAGCAGCAGCGGTGGGACAAGCCATCGTCATCTTCTCCTCTTCAGTCACCTCCCTGTTCAGGTGCCTGGACACGAAGCTGTCGTTTATGTAACACACGGTCCATACATTGCCCATGGCGTCACGCATGGGCATCCTCACATGGCCACAAAGAAGGGGGGCGTCATGTGGCACCCAACCCCACCGTGGATCCCTCCTGGCATCAGTCTCTGCACAAACCGAGCCCGCTGCAGTGTCCAACCCGCCAATCACCCATGACTCTCCGCAGTCGACACTGTCGTACTCAAAATCATTCAGCCTCAAATCGCCCTTCGCGTCCAGAACACGCCATAGTTTCAACACATGCYGTGATTTCTCATCAGGGGTCGCCGCATCGTTCAACCTCAGCACTCTGTCGAAGATGATTGACAGAGTCACGCACCTCCACGACGCCTCTGTGGGGGCGGGATATGGAACCCATTCCCCATTCACTTTGAACGCAAAGCACGACGTTCCTCCAACGGTACCCGGTTGAAGACGACCAGGCACCCAATTGACGTCATACGGGAAGTGTCCTCCTGCTCTCGTCCTCTCAACATTCTCGTATGGAACAAGACACTCTGCACCATCATCGCTCGTGTCGCCATCCGTGCTCAAGTCTGCAGCCTGCGCACAAATTTCTGCAAGGGCCACTGCACAGTCCGTGGTGTTTGCTCCGACCGATATCCCTTCGTTGCTGACACCTGCAATACCCTTCACCATGTCTTGAGTCTCCATCGCGCATGTCTCCACGCCGTTGATATTCGATTGAATGGCAGACCCCATCTATTGCATGACACATCACAAACATTTATGAGAAGCCTTGGCAGCGACGTGACCCCCTTACCAGAGAGAGAGAGAGAGAGAGAGAGAGAGAGTACTGCGGGCCAGAACGAGAACAACCAGCAGCGGTGTGCACTTACATGGCACGCAGTAGTCAACCTCTCTCTCTCTCAGGCAGACATACACTGCGTAAAAGGGCGGTTGGCTACTGTGGGCCGTTGGGACAACAAGCAGCATCGGTACACATTGACATGGCACGCAATACTCAACCTCACCCAGCTGGAAAAAAAAAATAAAAAATTGTGGCACCAGCGCGAGGTTGGCTACTGCGGGCCAGAACGAGTACAACCAGCAGCGGTGTACACGTACATGGCCCGCAGTAGTCAACCTCGCCAATACTGCCTAACATACACTGCGTAAAATGGCGGTTGGCTACTGCGGGCCGTTGGGACAACAAGCAGCGTCGGTACACACTGACATGACACGCAGCAGTCAACCTCACCCAGCTGGAAAAAAAGAAAAAAAAAATGTGGCACCAGCGCGAGGTTGGCTACTGCGGGCCAGAATGAGTACAACCAGCAGCGGTGTACATGTACATGGCCCGCAGTAGTCAACCTCGCCCATACAGGCTAACATACACTGCGTAAAAGGGTGGTTGGCTACTGCAGGCCGTTGGGACAACAAGCAGCATCGGTACACACTTTCATGATACGCAGCAGTCAACCTCACCCAGCTGGAAAAATAAAATAAAAAATTGTGGCACCAGCGCGAGGTTGGGTACTGCGGGCCAGAACGAGTACAACCAGCAGGGGTATACACGTACATGGCCCGCAGTAGTCAATCTCGCCCATACAGGCAAACATACACTGCGTTAGAGGGCTAACAACAACTGCGGGCCATTGACACAACAAGCAGCTTCGGTACACACTGACATGGCACACAGTAGCCAACCTCACCCACCTGGGAAATCAGAAAACAATGTGGCACCGGCGCGAGGTTGGCTACTGCGGGCCAGATCGACAACAACCAACAGCGGTGTACACTTACATGGCCCGCAGTAGTCAACCTCGCCCATACAGGCAGACATACACTGCGTTAGAGGGCGGTTGGCTACTGCGGGCCACTGACACAACAAGCAGCTTCGCTACACACTAACATAGCACGCAGTAGCCAACCTCACCCACCTGGGAAATCAGAAAACAATGTGGCACCGGCTCGAGGTTGGCTACTGCGGGCCAGATCGACAACAACCAGCAGCGGTGTACACTTACATGGCCCGCAGTAGACAACCTCGCCCGTACAGGCAGACATACACTGCGTTAGAGGGCGGTTGGCTACTGCGGGCCATTGACACAACAACCAGTTTCGGTATAGACTGACATGGCACCCAGTACCCAACCTCACCCACCTGGCCACTCATAAAAAAATGTGGCACCAGCGCGAGGTTGGTTACTGTGGGCCAGATCGACAACAACCAGGAGCGGTGTACACTTACATGGCCCTCAGTAGTCAACCTCGCCCATACAGGCAAACATACGGGGCCTTAGAAGGCGGTTGGCTATTGCAGGCCATTGACACAACAAGCAGCTTCGGTACACACTGACATGGCACGCAGTAGTCAACCTCACCCACCTGAGAAATCATGAAGAAATGTGGCACCAGCGCGAGGTTGGCTACTGCAGGCCAGATCGACAACAACCAGTAGCGGTGTACACTTACATGGCCCGGCGTAGTCAACCTCGCCCATACAGGCTAAACTACAGTGCGTTAGAGGGYCGTTGGCTACTGCGGGCCATCAGGACAACAACCAGCGTCGGCAAACACTGACATCGCACGCAATAGTCAACCTCACCCAGCTGGGAAAAAAAAAAAGAATGTTGATTGCGAGAGGTTGA